ACCTGTACCTGTTAGATAACACACCTGTAGCTGTTAGATAACACACCTGTACCTGTTAGATAACACACCTGTACCTGTTAGATAACACACCTGTTAGACAACACACCTGTAGCTGTTAGACAACACACCTGTACCTGTTAGATAACACACCTGTAGCTGTTAGATAACACACCTGTACCTGTTAGATAACACACCTGTACCTGTTAGATAACACACCTGTAGCTGTTAGACAACACACCTGTACCTGTTAGACAACACACCTGTAGCTGTTAGACAACACACCTGTAGCTGTTAGACAACACACCTGTAGCTGTTAGACAACACACCTGTACCTGTTAGACAACACACCTGTACCTGTTAGACAACACACCTGTATCTGTTAGATAACACACCTGTACCTGTTAGATAACACACCTGAGGTTTCAGACTGTGTGCTGGGACCAGGCTCAGCTACTACCAGCTCATCTCTGATTGGTTAAAGTCAGGTGGCTGTGGCGGCCATCTTGAATCAGATTGACTCCAGAAGTGAATCATGTGCAGATGTTCTTCTAACCATCACTCTCTGAAGGTTTCATCCCAGTCTGCCCAGTGGCTCAGGAGATATTTTACTAACAGACAGCCACAGACCAGGATCGCCTGCAGGGCGACAACAAAGATGGATCCATCAGAACCAGACCGAGCTGCTGCCTCCATAACAAACAGAATCAGAACCTCAGAGACCCGGACCTGTACAGCACCGAGCGGCCCACAGAACCGAGGTGGGACGGGAACAAAGCCCAGATGTGGGCCGGAAGCTGCTGATCAAAACAAAGATGAAGGTTACCGTGTCTCCTCAGGACCAGACCCGGATCCTCTGCTCATCAGCCTGTCCTCCTCCACAGGGAAACCAGGACCAGAACCAGGACCAGGACCAGCCTCATCAGAACCCTGAAGGTTCGGTCTTAAAGAAACAAAACCTTCCGGAGCCGCTTCAGTCCCGAGTCCCGACCCGAAACAAACCGCTGTCCTCTGCTGCCATCTGCTGGACGGTCCAGGAGGTGGTCCAGGACCGAGACCGAGACGGGAGGTCCAGTAGAGTTCTGCAGATCTCTGATGGTTCAACTGACTTCATATTTTAATTTGATTATAAATCAGTGTCATCATTTCACCTACAAAAACTAACTAAATTAAAGAAATAAGATATTTATTACAAACTAACAAACAAACAAACAAACAAACAAACAAACAAACAAACAAACAAACATGAAATACAAGCCAGTATTATGTAAAGTTTAATGTTGTTTCAGATGTAAATAAAACAAAGTACAGATTTGTACCTAAATATTGACATTAAACATAAACTGTGACTGGGTCAGTCCTGGTCC